CCACCGACATTTTGTCGGCCCGAATCAGTACATGCTGACGCTCTAACTGTGACCGGAAGGCTTTGAGGGCTAAGGATACCGCCTTCAATTCCAAGCGGTTTAAATGCCACTTCCTCTGCGACTCCGTCCACAAGCCTGAGGCAGTCGCGCCCATGCACACCGCTCCCCAGCCTGAGGTTGATGCATCCGTCAAGACTGCGGTGCGATGCGCCACGGTGCCTATCGGAACCCCTGAACTGAATAACGCCGGGTTTTTCCACGGTACCAAAGTGCGAATGCAGCTGTGGGTGACCGTGATGCGCCTGAGTCCGGACGACCACGCCCCCTGAGGGACTTGGAGCTTCAACCAGATTTGAAGCGGGCGCATATGCAGCAGCCCCAGATGACACACTGGGGAGGCTGCCGCCAACAGACCTAACAGCCTCTGAAATTCCTTTAGTGGCACAGACCTGCCTGGTCTGAAACGGTCCAGAGACAATGCCAGAGACTTTATCCGCTCTTGAGAGAGATGGGCTCGCATCGCTCTTGAGAGAGATGGGCTAGATCTAAAATTAAATCTAGAATCTACTTTCTCTTCCGCAATAGGGCCTCCTTCACTTATGCTGCCAAACTTGCATTGGCGAAAATGACTATCATTCCAATGTTTGACTTTGGTGATGTCATTTATAGAACTGCCTCAAATTTTCTGCTGAAAAAACTGGACGTGATTTATCATAGCGTCATACGTTTTGTCACAAATGCCCCATACAACACCCACCATTGCAAGCTCTATGAATTAGTCGGTTGGCCGTCTTTAACTACTCGGCGTTTAACTCAACTTATAACAACTTATATATAAGTCTTTGCTTGGCAAAGTTCCCCTGTACTTAAGCTGTCTAGTTACCATTGCTCTACCCACTCGCAGTTTACGATCTAGTAGGTATATCGCCATAGTCACTACGAAAGCCTGCACAACATTCGGCCGCCAATCCTTCCAGTTTGCAGCCGCCAATGATTGGAATGCATTACAAAAAACCCTAAAACTTGAAATACTCATATCACCAGCTGCTTTTAAATTACTCCTCTCTGAACAATTGTCCGATTTATGTACCTGCTAATTATCTTCAACTTTTCTACTTTATCCTGTGCCCGTATTGCACAGTGGACCTCTTTCACCTGCACTACTGTCATACCTGCTGACTTTCTTGTACTACTTTTTTCAAATGCTCTTTCCCATAATCGTGGTCACATAAATCATGCACTCAAATGACCTACCTGCTAGACCCACTGTAATTCTTGTATATCCAGTAAAATGTTATATATTTTTTTGTACTTTGTATTTTAAAAATATTTTTTAAATATATTTCTAGTGCCTTAACTATGCTGCTCAACAGGATTCATATACACCTTATTCTGTTTTCTTGACCCTGTACTGCTGTATTGTGTTCACATGATTGTGTTAATTTGTAACTGCACTTCTGTGTTATGTGTACTTATTATGTAATTCTATGTTGTCTTGCACATTTATTCGCCTTATCTTGGCCAGGTCGCCGTTGTAAATGAGAATTTGTTCTCAATCGGCCTACCTGGTAAAATAAAGGTAAAATAAAAAAATAAAACAATAAATAAAAATCGTTATTGAGTTCAAGCACACTCCCAGAAATGTTGTGGTCTGACTCGGTGTGAACACGCTTTTCTGTTCGTTTACACGCATCCCCAGCGAGTCCAGGTGACGAAGTAGTATTTCCACATGACCGATTAGCACCTCTCGCGAGTGGGCTAGAATCAGCCAATCGTCCAGATAATTTAGGATGCGCATTCCGCTCGACCTGAGGGGAGAAAGCGCCGCGTCCACACACTTCGAAAAGGTGCGGGGGGCAAGAGCCAATCCGAACGGGAGTACTGAGTACTGATAAGCTGTGCCCTCGAACGCAAACCTCAGAAAGCGCCTGTGGCGCGGTGCTATCTGGATATGAAAGTACGCGTCCTTTAAATCCACTTAAGCGAACCAATCCCCGGGACGAACTTGTGCCAGAATCGGCTTTAGAGTTGTCATTTTGAACGCACGCTTGTGAAGTGCTCGGTTTATGGGTCTCGGGTCTCAGGTCCAGGATCGGACGGAGACCCCCCCCCCCCCCCTCCCTCTCTTGGGTACCACAAAGTACTGGCTGTAGAAACCGCTCTCCCTCTCGTTCGCAGGAACCGGTTCTATCGCTCCTTTCTCGAGCAGACTGAGAACTTCCTGTCTCAGAACGGGAACGTTTTGGGGCAAAGTTAATGACAGGATCACGCCGTTGAAGCGGGGTTGTCTGCGTCTGAACTGAAGCGAATACCCGTGTCGAATTAAGCCCAACACCCATGGTGAAATGCCCGGAATTGATTCCCACGCACCCAGAAAATGACTCAGAGTGCGTGCTCGAACTGCGGTCATAGCCGCCACCAGTGTAGTGTTTAGACTGGAGCCGCACTCCCGCGAGGCTGATAACTCTGGCGGGAGTGCGACTCGCAGTGGGCTGAGAGTCGTGCTGGCGATCTCGTGCCCATGAGATGCCATTATAGTCATCGAGTGTGACCCTGCGCTGTCTCGTGAAAGGGCGGGTGACACAATGTGAGGTGTAAGAGGAAAAAAAAGCTCTTTTTGTGAAGGGATACATGCTTTTATTAAAGAACAAACAACATTCACACATATGCGATCGTCGCTCAACTGAACATGAGGGACACGATGCATAAGAACACGGCGCTTGGAGGCCGGTCCTCCTTCGCGCTCTTTCTTCCTCTTGGCCGCTCCGTCAGGAAGAAGGCTTTGACGCGGAGGGGGGCGCGGGCTCCTTCTCTGGCCCTGGCTCTTTCTCCCGGGTCCCGGCCACTGTCTGCCCCGGGAAGCGCGAGCATCCGGCTCGGTGCGAGGCGCCGCTGATTGTCTCACCGAGCTCTGGGGCTGGTTCCGAGTAGCCGATGACGAGCACGAACGCTGACGAGCCGAGGGCGCTCGACGCGGGATCACGTGGCTTATGGCTTTAGCGCGTTTCTGGGTCTCAGAGAAACGCTCCGTGACAGCCTCCACCGCGTTCCCAAAGAGACCGGCTGGGGTGATGGGAGCATTAAGCAAGGTTTTCCGGTCGGAATCCTTGACATCTGACAGTGTCAGCCACAGGTGTCTGTGGAGGACGACCAGAAAACCCATGGAGCGACCGATGGCTTGCGCTGAGCGTTTGGTGGTCATCAGCGCATGGTCCGTAGCCGAACGGAGATCCCGGATGACGTCAGCGTCAACAGAGGCGACGCCATCCAGGGACTTAAGCAGCTTCGCCTGGAACACCTGTAGTATAGCCATGGCATGGAGAGCTGATACTGCCTCTCCTGCCGCTCCATACGCTTTATCCGCTTGGTGGGCCGTGAACCTGCAGGGCTTGGACGGCAGGCTGCGGTCCGCGCCCAGTGCAGACGTCGATGGGCACAGGTGAGTGGCGACATTCTCCTCGACGGGGGGCATGCGCACATAACCGTGGGCTACAGCCTCGTCGACATGTGCGAACAAGGACTGACTGGCAGAGTGGGTGCGGTGCGCGCCGAATGGGGCGCAGCCCACGACTTAACCACGTGTTCGTGGACGTCCGGGAAAAACGGGGTTCCCCTCTTCGACGCGGCGTGACGGCGGCTCGACTGAAGGAACCACGTGTCCAACTTGCTCTTAGCTGGCTCATCCGGTGCGTCCCACGAAAGGTCCAACTTGGCGACGGCCTTAGTAAGGACCCTAAAGAGCTCCTCCTGGAGGTCAGGACTCCCTTGCTCGGGAGGTGCGGCCTGCTCGGATCCCCATGCAGGCCCATGCAGGCGACGCAGAACAAGTGGGTGTCGGGCGCCATAATAGGCCCCGAGCACAAGTTGCAGATGGATGCCATCGGATGCTAAAGACAGTGAGGTATCTTTAGATGCACCTTCGACGATGGCGAGTTTTTAGTAGAGTATTTTTCCAATTCGAATAGCACACGTCAATTTGAGCGTGAAGAAAAGGATTCTGATGCAATTGACGAGCATATGCAATTTATACTGCCAGCAGGCGTGTCAGTATTTGCATATTTTGCATATTTTGCATCAATTGGCCAGCTGTCTCCAGCTGGCGTTAGCCCATAAGATTTCAGCAGAAGTGAAGAAGGGGAGGAGTTCCCATACTAGTCATCGACGTAAATGTCGAAGTGACCGCCTTGAAAGGGAACTAAAATTATTACAGTAAAGGGGAAACCTAAGCACTATATGTGAATTCTGTCACAACTTTAAGCATATGTCACCACAGTAGGCTATAATTAATATGGGAGCGCTTGTTTCCTGTTTATACAAAATTATTAACATGAATCACCCACCAATGTGACAAAAACAAAAGCAAAAATGATGAATGGAAAACAAACTGTCCTGTCGAAGTGATTCATGTTGAGGTCAAACGGCACAGAGGTCAGATACATAAAACTGCAGGAGACCACAGAGGACTTAATTATGTATTTGACTATTTGTGTATTTGACTATATTCAACAGTCTTTGAAATAGACACATAAGCACCTGCAAAAGCTTTACTCAGAAAAACACGATCATATGAAGTTTCCTGTGACTGTTCCTGTTTCCCTTTGTTTTAGTGTGAAGATTTGTGGATTATTATGACATTCCATACACAACCATTTTTTTCAAAAAAAAATTTGTTTTGGAATTTCAAAGCATAGTTTTAGAATCATGCCATTCGGCCCAGTGCCTTCAATTTCATCTGTTTGTGTGCATATGTGTGTGTGTGTGTGTGTGTGTGTGTGTGTGTGTGTGTGTGTGTGTGTGTGTGTGTGTGTGTGTGTGTGTGTGTGTGTGTGTGTGTGTGTGTGTGTGTGTGTGTGTGTGTGTGTGTGTGTGTGTGTGTGTGTGTGTGTGTGTGTGTGTGTGTGTGTGTGTGTGTGTGTGTGTGTGTGTGTGTGAGAGAGAAAGAGAGAAAGAGAGAGCTCTGGTTCTCATTGAGCTTGGCATTACTCCCCAGACAAAAAGATTTACAGGCCAAAAAACAGATGGAAGAACGCAGTACAGAGTAGGAGGAGAGAAAAGAGAGAGTTCAGGTTTGCACAGTGACTTTAGATGTTTTTCACAGAGGTGAGTGTGTGTGTGTGTGTGTGTGTGTGTGTGTGTGTGTGTGTGTGTGTGTGTGTGTGTGTGTGTGTGTGTGTGTGTGTGTGTGTGTGTGTGTGTGTGTGTGTGTGTGTGTGTGTGTGTGTGCGTGTGTGTGTGTGCGTGTGTGTGTGTGTGTGTGTGTGCATCCATGCTGTTAATGGATTGCTAATTAAGGACTTCTCGGGTGAAGCCAGGAAAAGCAGGAGAGGAAATGGAGGAGTGGAGGGCCAGGTAAGATGAGACGGTAGAAATAGATTATCAAATGAAGAGAGAAGCTGGGGGGGGGGGGGGGGGGGGGGGGGGGGGGGGGCAACCTGAAGGAGGGGCAGAGGGAAAAGAAAGGTATGTGTCTGTTTGATAGTGTGAGAGGGAATATGGAGAGAGAAGAGAAAGAGGAAGGAGGCAAAGAGATTAAAAAGGCACAGAAAGAAGAGAGGACACTCTGGTAAGAATTTCTACACCAATTTAAAGAAATAGCAAAGGATTGAAAGGGTGATTCTGTCAGTACAACTGCTCTGTTAGTGTAACTCTATCTGCTCATAGCCGTAAAACATACAGTAATGCCTTCCCAGTGATGGGGCCACTACATTCTCACACACACACACACACACACACACACACTTCTAATGAGCACTCCGGAGCTTATACACAATACTGTGAGTTATTTAAAGAGAAGAGCGATCAGACGGAATCAGCTTTGATCAGGAGTAATGCCTTGAGGACTGTTGTCTCGACATTTATAAGTATGATCTCACTTTTGTATATTTTTTTTACATATCAGATTGATAGGATAGTGCAGATCTTCACATGGACATTGGTTTTACTGTATGTCTTGTGTGCAGTGTTCATTAGTTCTGTTTTCTTTTTGAAATTAAGTATGTCTCTCAGGATGTCCTCAAGAAGATTCAAATCTTTGGGAGAGAATGATTAATTTTTAAACAATCCTCATTCCCTTACTCCTTCTGAGAAGTTTTAGTTTGGAGAAACAAACTTTATACGTCTTGAGTGCATTCTGAGTGAGATTTTGAGATCTTGAACTTTAAAAGTCACCTGCTGAACACATGTTTCAGATCCATAAACGTCCTTCTGTGAGCCATGCACCTGCTCCATCATCTGTTGTTCTTGACAATGGCCTTTCACCTTGTTTTTGTCATGGTAAGTGGTTTATAGTTGCTATGGTGAGAACAAGTTGCTAATGTGCTCATATTTAAAAAATGAAACAATGATAAGTAAATATTAAGAAAAGCAACTGACAAATGACTTTTTGAAATGCAATTTCAAATTTACATATAAAAATACATATTTATAAAAAATATTATTTTATTGTTATTTAACATTTTACAACATGAATTAAATATTTAAATATGTCTATTTGTCAATTTAATAATTTATTTTATCGTGATATTTAACTACATTTTAAAACATGAATTAAACAAGCTGTTGTAGGTGTAGAAGTCAAATAAAAAATCACTTGTTCATGTTTGAATTGTCAAATTAATCATTTTAATTTTTAAGTGACACTATAGTCCTACATATGCTGTGCAATCACACAAGCAAGAAAGAGTGCCATTATTGTGAATATATTCAGACCAACAGCACGATTCGATCATCTCCTATAAAAAATAATCCACAGTCTGGAACAAGCCAACAAACGGTATCGTTTTTCTAGGATTTGTTTTATTCTGAAAGTTTATATAAAGTTTATTAAAGGATAGCCTACTATCAGTGCAAAAGAGGTAATTTTGAAAGAGTTAAGCGTGAAAGAGATAAAGAGGTACAGAGTGTAAAAGTTAGTGAACGAAAGAGTCTAAGTCTGTAAAAAAAATCTAAAAGCTTTCACACTTACTGTGCTGTAATGGTGAACAGACTGCTGTAAATATGCACGTTCCAATCTTTCTCTCTCATTCTTCTCTACATCTCTCTCTCTCTCTCTCTCTCTCTCTCTCTCTCTCTCTCTCTCTCTCTCTCTCTCTCTAAAGAGTATTTCTGCACACATGCTGGTGCAATATGATACTCATCCATCAAGTCCTAAACATGCACAGTAATTCTCTCGTATATTTGAAACTCAAAGATCAAGAAAAGCACTTAAGACAATTGAAAAATAAATGACAGCTCATTGTTGTCTACAAAGGCAGTGAATGGAATAGATGGCATATAAAAAATAAGAGGTTGATGACAAGACCATGATCGGGTGGTCCAGGCCCCCCTGTAGAGGAATATTGTTATTATGGTTCATTAATAGTCCAGTTATCAGTAGGCTATATTAAGTGGTCAAGACAGAATTTTCTTCAACTGTTTGAGGTATTAAGGTTTAAAAAGTAGAACTTTTTTAACACAGAGTCTTAAGACTGCCACGCAGAAATATATTACGGAGATGCATCGCTAATGTTCAAATGTTTGGGGTCAGGAAGTACTCTTTAAACTGATTATAAGTTCAGTAAAGACGTATTGTTTCAATAAAATCTATATTTCAAATAGTGCTGTTATTTTGATCTTTCTGTTCATCAAAGAATTATACTGCAAAATGTATTGCAGTTTCCACAAAAATATTAAGCAGCACAACTTTTTTCAACATTGATAATAATAAGAAATATTTTGTGGGCACCAAATCAGCATATTACAATTATTTCTGAAGGATCATGTGACACTGAAGACTGTGTAATGATGCTGAAAATTCAGCTTTTTAAAATAGAAAACAGCTATTTAAAATTGTTGTAATATTTCACAATATTGCTGTTTTTACTGTATTTTTGATCAAATACATGCATGTCTTGGTGAGCATAAGAGATTTCTTTCAAAATTTTAGAGCAGTTTAGTGTATCAAAAATGTCCTAGCTTATTTTTACATACACAAGAAATATAACAATATCACAGACAAATACAAGAACGCGTCCCATGTGAATGACCTTATTTGTGTGTGTTTTGGTGTAGAAGGGTGGAAGAGCCCAGCGTAAACAGAGGCAGGCTGAAGAAAAGTTAAGGCCATATTTGGGCAGAGTGGATCCAGGTGAGACAGTTATTCAATGGCACTTATTTTATGAGTTGTTTTGTACATTATTTATTCAGTATAAATATGTGCTTCCTATTTTTACTACTCCCTCTCTCTCTATTCTCATCCTATTTTTTCTTTCATTCTCTCCTATTCAGAATCACTGTGTCAGTTGTTGAAATGTCACAGTCCTATTGGTTCCTTGTGTCAAGTAGTACAGGAGGGGGGAGTTCTCGCCCCTAAATGTGTGTGTCCAAAGACCTGCCCACGGTAAGACACACACACACTGACAAATTAATAACAATTTTCTAAGACACTTGAGCTGATTTCAATGCCAAGCTATCGCAGCTGAGCCAGCGGCATGAACAGTGAGGCTCAGTGTCATGATTAAGAGAATAATGATGTAAGACACTCCTTACGGCTCACAGATTCCTTGGAATCAAACCAGCAGCCCAGACATTTACTGGTATATTCGCTCTGCGCACTTAGTCTTTAATGCAGATAAAGGCCACATGCAGGAAAATGGGCTTAAGGGCTGTGTAACACACCACAAATATTGCTTTACAACTTAAAAAAGATGCTAATGCAGTTTGAAAGAACAGTATAACATTATTTCAAAACATTATATCCTTCAAAAGCAGTTTTTTTGGGACAGGTTAATAGACTAAAATAATCAATTAAACCGTTTTAAGATAAATGTTTATAACTCTTTACTCCTTTCTACATCAAGTGGCGATCCAACACAATATCAAAATTAGTTATCATCCAAAAGTAATCATAAATGTCCTTAAATGCAAATATTAAAATTTATTAATATTACTGCAACTTGAATTGCATAACTTCAGCAATGTCCAAAATTGTTAACATATGTTAAAAACAAAAGTTTATTTTGATGGTTTAATGCCTGTTATTCACTGCTCAAAAAATATTGAGGTCGTCACAAACAATTTTTTATCGTCAGTGCAAGTGAATTTAATGCAGTCTATATTTTCTTTTATCATGTGTAGTTGTATTCCTGTTTTTAATATCAACATATCACATTTAATATCACATAATATGTTCACGTTGACATCTGCTTAATCTGCTTCATGACCGTTGAAATGGCGCACAGCCTGTGATGTCAACAACAAAAGACATGAAGCATTTTCTTGTTCCTTTTACCGTTTCCTCGTACTATTTTTTCACAATTATGGTTAGTTATATTTTATTATGTAGTCCATTTGTGTGTATGTGTTGTTTGCTACAGGCAGGGGGCACCAGTGTGCAGTGTTTTGGGGAAGACGTACAGCAACGAGTGTCTGCTTCACAAGGAGGCCTGCCACAAAAAACGGCGCATTGGCAAGGCACATAGTGGAGCTTGTCTGGGTAAAAAGGCACACGCAAAAACTTCTTTCATTACAGTTTCATTATACTTAAATGCACATTTATGAGTTGTGTGATGTGGTTTCTCTGTCAGTGAGCAGGGCAGAGTGTTCTCAGGAAGAGTTCGGTCAGTTCCCGTACCGTCTGCTGGACTGGTTCTTACTCCTCAGCAGAATGGGAGAAAGATACACACCACCGGCACCCTCGCAAAGATGCCTCACACACACACAGCGAACCCAGCTCGCACAGGTTAAGAAACACATGCCACCACCCATAGATCATACACACTGACACTGCATACACGCTTTTTGCTTTTCATTCAGCTTCATCACACAAGCACTAATACAAATACTTTACAACATAGATGCTATTGTGGCAAATATTGTATGTATGTGTGTGATGCTTTAAAAATGTCTCAAGAGTCAAAAGTAACTCTTGGTCCATCCCTTAGGAAAATTAACCATGGTGGTATAGTAAAAGTGTAGTAACCATGTTTTTTGGCAGATTAATTACCACTTTTATAACCACAAGTTTACTACAAATACCATGGGTAAACTATGGTTAGTGTAGCAAAACCATGGTTGATTTGTGGTTACCATGGTTTAACTATACAATAACCATGTTTTTGGGGGGTTTGATTTGGGGTTAAAAAATACAAAAATGGTGTGCACATCCCAAACACCCAAATTGGGCTCAGGTGCAAGACAACTAAGTGATATAAAGAAGTGTGAAGTCCGCACACTGAAAATTACTGCTCCAAAAAAATGTATTAAAAGGCAACGTTTCGATGTGCCTGATGAAGACCTGAGGGTCGAAACGTTGCCTTTTAATACATTTTTTTGGAGCAGTAATTTTCAGTGTGCGGACTTCACACTTCTTTATTTGATTTGGGGTTAAACCATGGTTAATTTCCGTAAGGGATGTAGATAAAGGTCTCCTGGGATAACAGAAAACTGATCAGAAAGAGCTTTATTGCTAAGTGTGCTTGCACACACAAGGAATTTTTAACTTGGTATTGAAGCTTCTAGTACACACATAGAAATCTAACAAGACACATAATAACATTTAAGAATAACAAATATAAATGTATAAAGACACGGATAGGTTTAGTCAGAATACACATTTACAGATAATGAACATATTTACAGTATTGTGAATAATAATATGAATAAATAGGACTAAATGAATTTAAAAGGATATTGCACAAAAAAGTGGGGTATTGCACTTGTAAGGTATTTAACTGTTCAAGAGGGAAATAGCCTGTTGGAAGAAACTGTCCCTGTGCCTAGATGTTCCAGTGCCTAGTGATCTGAGGCACCGTCCAGATGGCAACTGTTCACCACTACTCCTCTCCGCAGTCCAGACTGTCCGTTGTAGTCTCTTGACGTCTGATTTTAGTGGCTGAACCAAACTAGACAGTTGTTGGTGAACACAGGACAGACTCAATGACGGCTGAGTAGAACTGTGTCAGCAGCTCTTCTGGCAGGTTGAACTTCCTCAGCTGGTGATGGAAGTATAACCTCTGCTGGGCCTTTTTCACAATATAAGTGTCCCACTTCAGGTCCTGAGAGGTGGTGGTGCCCGGGAACCTGAATGACTCCACTGCTTCCACAGTGCTGTTCATGATGGTGAGTGGGGGGAATGCTGGGGTGTTCCTCCTGAAGTCCACTATCATATCCACTGTTTTGGGTGTGTTCAGCTCCAGGTTGTTATTACTGCACCAGACAGACAGTTGTTCGACCTCTTGTCTGTATATGCAGACTCGTCACCATCCTGGATGAGGCCAATGACTGTGGTGTCGTCTGCAAACTTCAGAGGCTCGACTGAGGGGTCTTTAGAGGTGCAGTCATTTGTGTACAGTGAGAAGAGCAAAGGGGAGAAGACGCAACCCTGAGAAGCATCAATGCTGATAGTGAGAGTCCTGGATGTGAGTTTCCCCAGTCTCACTAGCTGCTGCCTATCTTTCAGAAAGCTGGTGGGCACGAAAAGCTGGGTCAGATTGTATGATAGAAGATCTGGTCTGATGGTGTTGAAAGCCGAACTGAAGTCCACAAATAAGATCCTTGCATAAGTCCCAGGTCTGTCAAGATGTTGCAGGATATAATGCAGTCCCATGTTGACTGCATCATCCACAGACCTGTTTGCCAAGGGTCCAGTGATGTCCTTCAGGTAGACCAACACCAGTCTCTCAAATGACTTCATGACCACAGATGTGAGAGCAACAGGTCTGTAGTCATTAAGTCCAGTGATTCAGCAGGGAACTTCACACTGGTCTAGTGATCTGTTGAATATCTGCGTGAAGATTGGGGCAAGTTGGTCAGCGAAGACTTTTAAACTGGCAGGTGCAACACCGTCTGGGCCTGAAGCTTTCCTGGTCTTCTGTTTTTTGAAAACTAGGCTTACGTCCTCCACGCAGACCTTAAGAGCAGGTTGAATAGCAAGAGGGTGACGAGGGGGGTTGCAGGGGTTGGTGTATGAGTGAAGTGGAGATCAGAGTGGGTGTGGGGTGTAAGACTGGGCTTTTCAAACCTACAGTAAAACACATTCAGATCCTCAGCCAGTTGTTGATTCTCCACAAATCGTGGGTGTGGTGTCTTGTGCTTGGTGATGTTCCTCAGGCTCTGTTTATACTTGGTATTAAGATGCGTTTTGGTCGATCGGATCACATGTGGACGACGCTAAATACAGTTGTAAATGGGGTCTAAAACGTTTCAAGCTTGTCTACTTTTGACCACTTCCAGAGGTAGTCGAAAACGCATTCGACCAGATTGCTTTTCGTAGTGTTCATGGGGTTGAATGCGTTCGAACAGCCGCAAAAGACCTCTCTCCACCTACTGATCTAATGCGTAAACGTTATGGTAAGCACGCTAGCCAGACGAGATTTAAACTTTGTTGGCTGAAGACCCAAATTTGGGTTGAATACGAAAAACGTACCAAGCACAATGTACTCTCACCATTCCTGATTTCTAACACTCACTCACAACGTTCGGCGTGATCCTGCGGCTATTAGAGCAAAAACAAAAGCTGCTGCTCTCCGTATGTTTTTTCTGTCGTCTCAGGTTGCGTTTATATGTAAATTGCACAAGCTTATTTTGTATATTAGATCGAAAGATCTGAAGAAGCCCATACATTTACCCACCCATAAACCCTCCTCTTGAAGAAATCAGGACAGAAGTGGTTGAAAGTGGACAAAAGAGACAGATTAAAACACCAGGTGTAAACGGGAATGTGTCTTCCTCGACTACTTGGGAACCGATCAACGAAAACGCATCTTAAAACCAGGTGTAAACAGGGCCTCAGACCTGTCCAGGCTAATGTCGGGTAGCTGGCCTTCTTTTAGCCCCTCTGATGTCATTTGTTAATCTGTTTCTGGCCTGGTTAAACAAGATTTTATCCCCACTTCTGTAAGCATCCTCTTTGGCATGACGAAGCTGCTTGAGTTTCCCAGTAAACCATGGTTTATTGTTTTTGAATGATAAGAATGTCCTGGTAGGAATGCATGTATCCTCACAGAAACTGATATATAATGTAACAGTATCAGTGAGCTTGTCCAGATCAGTGGCTGCAGCTTCAAAAACAATCTGTGCAATCGTAGCGGGCTTGTAAATCCCGCTCTGCTTCATTAGTCCATCTTTTAATATTCCTTATTACAGGTTTAGTTGATTTCAGTTTCTGCTGTAGGTCAGTATAAGATGAACTAGACAGTAATCAGAGAGCCCCAAAGCTGCACGTGGGACAGAGTTATATGCATTCTTTATGTAACAGTGATCCAGTATATTACTGTCTCTGGTGGGACATGTAATGTGCTGTCTGTATTTTGGCAGTTCACAGGAGAGATGTGCTTTATTAAAATCCCTAACAATTATTAAAAGAGAGTCTGGGTACCTTTGTTCCGTTTCGGCTACTTTTCAGCTAGCTGTTGCAGCGCTGTGCTAGTAGTTCATCTGATCCTCCAATTTAATTTAAGTTTTTATTTACATATAAACTTTCATCAATGCACATATCATACGCATGCACATTTGAGCTTCCACAAGAACCAATGTGGTTTGTTCTCGTGTGTCACGCAGGTTCGATTAATCCTCTGTTTATGTTAGCTGATCAATTCAATCTGTTCATCATGTAAAGCGATTGTGTCTCTTTAGAAAATTTGGACTAAACCACTCAATTCATTTGGATTCATTTTACAATCTCTTTAAAAAAAAATTAAGCGTCAAAGTGGTAGTTGCGCAGCTGTCAATGGAGAGTACAGAACTGGGTCAGATTTTGTGTTCTAAAGATATCTTACGTGTTTGGGACAACACAAGGGTGAGTAAATGATGACAGAATTTAAATTTTTGGGTGAACTAACCCTCAAAATGATAAGCTATTTCCTCACAAAAGCGGTTTATTTAGCGTAGTGAAGCCTCTCCTCCATTGAACTAAAAAAGGGCCTCTTGTCTCCTTCCCTGCGTACCGCAGCGTTAGCAGGCGTTACACTTTTTTCGGCTAAGGTTGCAGGTTTGCCTTTAAGTGGGTTTGGTTTTACTACCAATACCAAATTAGGCTAAATGTAATATCTAATTACCTTAAAGTGGAATGTTTTCTTCGACATCTCATGATTTCGGTGCACGCGAGTTCCTGAACATGATACATGATGGGATACACTCAGTCTCAAATACCGGTCCAAAGCAAATTCGATTATAAATTTATGATTTAAATTTAAAGGTGCCTTGTGTAATGTCCGCCAAAAAATCAATTCATACTCCACATTCCATACCAGATGGGGGCAGTATACCTCCAGAAAGTGAGTTGGTCTACTCTAGAGTAACAAACGAGAAACGGCATAGTCTCTATGCTCCGCCCCTACCTTCACAACGACCCTAGAGCCATAGCCGAAGCCGAGCCAACTCCTAATAGAAGACGTTTTGACTCCAGAGGAACGTTGGTTGATGTCAAGTGATTTTTAAATATGACATCTTCAAGCTACTCCCCTTCACCTTTACCAGTGAATATGTTCATATTCGTTTTGTTCATGTTACATTTTTATTGTTATTTTGAATTACATTAATTTGACAGACAGCATTCGCTGATGTTGACCAAGCTAGCGCCTTTCAGAGCTGCCAACTCTCACGAATTCACCGTGAGACAAACGCAATTGACACTTTTCACACGCTCTCACGCCACACATCAATTTTGTCACGCACAGAAAAATCGCAAAGCAAAGAGGACACGGAGACCGACAGACTAGACAGAGCAGGTTAGTTATGATATAAAAAAATCTCAGCTCTCAGATTCTGTCAATTTTATTACACAATTCAAACAATAAATACCGTTTAGGCGTTTGTAAATGTTACACGACAGATCCCTAGCACACGTGAACCGAGCGCGGTTTTTTCCCTGCAGCGGGTGGTTGTGGTGGTGGTAAGGGTCTCTTGCCAAGGGCTTCACCCATTCTTCCGTTCTCTTCCCTGAACTGAAATGTAGTAGTGGGCTGTACTTTCCACACGATTGACATCAGGTTCAAGTACGCCCACAAGCCGTGCGAGTTATTCGTGTATTGCAGTTTGGCTGGTGGTTATGTTGGCCGCATACCGCCTCCCATGGCCGAAACTGATATTATGACACCTGTCGGGCCGTGGCTAGTAATTTAGCATGCTAATTCAGGTTGATATCTCTGCAGCACTATAACTTGTCATTTTTTTAATGACATCATCGCCCTTATTTCTTCTCATTCTTTTGATGCGTGTAGCTCATTTTTTGGATATTTTTACCTCATTTCTTACACAAGGCACCTTTAAATCTAAGAGCACAAAAACATTTTTTTAATGAAACACATGCATGGTTGGATCATACACTCAAAGATCAATAACATGCATGTAGAAAATAAATTTCCATTTCATGCTGACTTTAAGTGTTTGTTTGAGACACCGCTCTTCTAAAATTGAATTTGTCAAAGTACCAGACATCCCACCTCTCTCAGAAGTTCCGGGAGTCTCCCACATACGCCTCCCTGACGCCTGCAAATTATTCACAATATCCTGGAATTCGAGCGAGCAAGAAAGAGAAGCCATGTTTCCACCTGGTATTAAGATGTGTTTTCAGTGATCTGATCACAAGTGGTCAGGAAAGACGCATTACCATGCATTTACACCTGGTTCTAACATGCGTTTCAATTGTGTCTCTGTGTTACGTGGCTTATGCTAATGAATAATATAATTTAAAAAAAATGTATTGGGGTGAGGGGCACTACTTCCCAGAAAAGAGTTTTTGCCGGATGGGATGTCTGAAGTACATAGTGTATTGTGTTATAATAGCCTATACATCATTTGGGACGGAGTTCTTTTCTGAACCAATTATTCTAAGCCGATTGCTAATCGAAGGCTAACTGCTTATTAAGCTTCAGTAATAAAATGAGATAAAATATTAATTGAGAACAAATTTTCTACCATTTCTAATCAGGCACCAAATCGAGCACATAAAAAATCTCAGCCTATAGAATAGGGGAAAGGGGATCTTCTTTTCAATTCAGTTGTAAATTTGTGATAAAAGCATCAAGTCCTGATCTTTTTTCTTTTGTCTCACATGGTCTCTTCTTTTCTCCCTTTTTCTTTCAGAGGAGGTTTGTTCTGTTGGATCGTAACAGGGACGGGAAGCTAAGCAGGAGAGATCTAAGAAAGCTTCACTATAAGCGGATGCCACTGGAGCACTGCGCTCAAAGATTCTTCCAGTAACACACACAAAGAAAATGACACCAGTGCCTATAGACACACACAATCACCTCACCCCTGTGATTTTGTGGTGTTTTCTCCTGTCTGACCTTCTCTGTATTTGCATAATATTACTGCAAACCCTCCCCAGCATCCTTTTGATTATAGTACACATGCCTTCAGGATGTCACCCACCCCTCTCTCTCATCCTCTTTCAATCTCTCTCTTCTCTCACTCATCCACTTGATCTCTCTCTCTCATTCAGAGCTGTGAATGCTTATTGCCTTCCTACTGTTCTAATGTGAGTGGTGTCCTTTACGGCTGATAGCTGCAGAGAGACGTAGAGGGATTTAGAAATCAAAAACGAGAGATAGAGGCAAAGAGAGTCCACTTGTAGAATTCAACAATACGGTGTGTGTGTGTGTGTGTGTGTGTGCAGGTCATGTGACAAGAACAAGAATAAGAAGGTGACCCTGAGGGAGTGGACATCCTGTCTGGTTAACCGGTCAGAACGCTGGTTTCAGGATTTCATGTGTAAGTCTATATTTGTTTCATCTAAATATGAAATTCTAATGTGTAAAATGTGCAAACACTTATACACACACATCAATGTGTCCGTTCTTCCTTTCTCAACTGCAGCCGTGAAGATGGGCTCACCAAAGCTGTGTCCTGTCCTAGACAACAACCTTTTAATTTAGATGTTTTATCTGTGTGGAATCATATTGTAAAGTACCGATGAAACAGAATCCTGATCCGGTCCATTACTGATTATCAAAATCTGTAATTATTTGATTTTTTTTCTATAAAAATGATTATAAATCCTTATAGTATTATTCAAATGTAGTATTTTTGTTATATGGAGGTATATGTAGGAACAATATGAAAAGTGGGGGAACTAATAATAATTATAAGCTTGACTAATAATGAATATTAATTAATTAGGTGACATAACATTCTCCTAGCAGTTATATGATGGGAACAGCTATCTATTATCATTCCTATGCTCTCCAATGCTGCATTTATTTGATGAAAAATACAGTAAAAACTGTAATAATGTAATAAATGACTATTTGATTATATTTAAAAATGTAATTTATTCCTGTGATGGCATATACTGTATATACACATTGGGCATATTACAATGATTTCCGAAGAATTCATGAAGGATTTTTTTTAAAATTCAGCTTTATATACACACACATATATATATATATATATATATATATAGTTGCTTTACCCCTGCTATATTTATCAAAGAAAATTAAGTCATGTTGCTCATGCTGTTATTTACCACATTTTTGAAAAGTCTGTATCCCCTGAGATATGTTGCCAGATTTGGGTAAGAAAAAAGGATTATCCATAGTATTGACAATGAGTAATGTCGCAAGGTAAACTGGGCCCCCTGTACCGGTTATTGTGCATTCCGGGGTGGCAGTAGAAATCTTGTTCCAGGACCGGGGCCCTTAGGGTAGATCCTTATAGGCCCTCGTGGCCTCTAAGCCCCCTGTACACAGTCCCCCTTGTATGCCGAAATTTTAGGACACTTAGACATGTCATACATACAGTACATTTTGCATATTACATTTTTATTTTTATTTTTTGCATCAAATAAATCATAGAAATATTGATGACTTTGGCTTTTTTATACCCTATAGGGAAATGTATCCTGGGAGATACAACTCATAAAACCCAAATTATATCAAATATTTCAAAAACTCCTTTGGATATGTTTTCCTTAAGACCGGATGATATAAAAAGTGTCATGAAGTGATTTTTTGCTGATCATTTTCCACTCTTGCCTGTTTAAGGGTTAAAGTCTGATACAATTGGAACATAATAAAAGTCTAAACATTCCTGTTACTTTTTTGTTGCATTGAGCATGTTTTTGTTTTGTCTGTGTTTTGTGACTCACTGCTGCAATCTAGTCAACAAAAACTGCTTTTTGAGGGACAGCGAGCATGTATCATGGATCACACAAGCAATTACTGCAGAGAGAGAAAGAGAGAGAGAGATTGGGCTATAACCTTAAACAGAGGGATGGAGAGCAGATTAATTGAGGGGTGGTGTTTAATAGGAGAGAGATGGATGGCCCATGAGAGAGATAAAAGACTACGTGAGCAGGGATGAGAGGAATAGATAATATGGCAGAGAGAGACAGAGAAAGGGGAGGACACCAAAAGAGAGAGAGAGAGAATCTCGTAATGCACTCAGAATGGGACAGGGAAGGGGGACAAGTTACAGTAAACCATTGCAAATGGAGGAGAGAAAATAGATTGAAGCATGAAAAATGGATCAGAAAGAGAGAGAAACGGGGGGAGGGTGTGTGTGTGTGTGTGTGTGTGTGTGTGTGTGTGTGTGTGTGTGTGTGTGTGTGTGTGTGTGTGTGAGAGAGAGAGAGAGAGAGAGAGAGAGAGAGAGAGAGAGAGAGAGAGAGAGAGAGAGAGAGAGAGAGAGAGAGAGAGAGAGAGAGAGAGAGAGAGAGAGAGAGAGAGAGAGAGAAAGAGTTGCAGAAGGGTGTGATAAAGGGTAGGGAGAGATTGTTAGATGGAAAGAGAATAACTAAATGGCATCCCACCACAAAGTAACTTCCCCTTCCAGTACATCATTGATGTCTTCCACTTTTCCAAACACTAAACGCTTCCAATAATTTCTGCCAAGTGTGAAAAATTGATTCTCAACATTTGAAAACAAGTCTATCGAGTTTTCCATGTATATCTGACCCCAGGAAGTGCAGCACAATAATCAGATCTCATTACATTTGTAGCTTTTAAAGTGGGTTTGGTTTCCTGTATAGTGCAGTCAAGAATCATCTCATCTGGCAGCCTCTTCTGCATTGTTTTGGTTTATGGTGCGGTTTGATATATGTCATTGTGTGGGATCACTCTGTGTTGTGACATTTTGGGGTTATGTTGTCTTTAATGTGTGCTGTGTTTTTCTTGTGTCTTTGTGTTCTTAATACACAATGTAGTTTGGTCCTGTGTTGTCTTTGGAAATGTACTGCTCTGTGGAATACCTAATTGGCCAGTGGCAGCATATTTAGTAGGCTATATACTGCATTTATTTTAAGCATAAAAGTGTTGATAGATAACGTCTCGGTTACGGATGTAACCCTCGTTCCCTGAGTAGGGAACGGAGACGTTCCGTCGGATGATGACGAATGGGGGTTTCGCTTAGAAAGCCAATCGACTTCGAGTACTACAAAACGAGCCAATGGCAAAGAAATGCCATGGGTCTGCGGAATTTGCATAGCGTAACTCCGCCTCACCTCGTGGGTATTTAAGGAGAACGCTGGCAGCAAATAGGCATGTTTTCTTCGCTGAGGAGCCAAGACTGAGCTCAGGCGATCCCCGCGGTACAGCGGAAGTGGCAGGCAGACGGAACGTCTCCGTTCCCTACTCAGGGAACGAGGGTTACATCCGTAACCGAGACGTTCCCTTTCGTTGTCACTCCGAGTTCCGTCGGATGACGACGAATGGGGATACCAGTCTAATCACGCCACTTCTCAGCTGTCTTCCAGTGCCCTGCGTAAATCTGAGATCCCTGTCGTGAGACTAGCACGGACGAAGGACTCCTATTTAACACAGGAATACCAAGGTACACTGGGGAGCATATCCCAGATCTTTTAGGGAAGTATGCAATTACTGCCAACCCAGAGGGGGGGACTTAAAAATACACATATGACCCGAGGGATGCATATGGGGAATCACTGGGGTGTCCAGCCGCAGGTGGAATATTTCAACCCCAGGGGTGGCAAGGTGGCTTGCCGAGGGAAAGACACACGCTCAGAGAGGCTTACAGTGGAAATACACATGTGGGGGTAGCTCAAAGGAGGTACCATGCACACGGAAGGCACCTAGCCGACGCGCAGGCAATAGACACTGGCGCCAGCGTCAGCAGTGCTGGAGGAGCTCAGGGCTTTCGGGAAAGCTCACCTGAGGAGAATATCGCACGTATCCAGTCCGAGGAGTGGCATGGCGAGCAAGCGAAGACACCTAACGGATCCCATGTTAGCTTGAAAAAGACAGTACACGGGAGGAGACTGGCTCCACTCGAAGATTGTAAAATCTGGCGAATGTGTTAGGTGTCGCCCAGCCTGCAGCTCTGCAGATGTCTGTTAGCGAGGCGCCATGCGCTAAAGCCCAAGAGGACGCGACACTCCGGGTGGAGTGGGCGGTCACACCAAGGGGGCACGGTCGACCTTGCTGCTGGTATGCCAGAGCAATGGCGTCCACTATCCAGTGAGACAACCTTTACTTGGAGAGAGCCTTTCCCTTCAGCTTCCCACCATAACAGACAAAGAGCTGGTCTGAGGTCCTGAAACACTGCGTTCTGTCTACATAGATGCGAAGAGCACGTACTGGACAGAGCGGTGCCAAGGCTGGGTCTGCCTCCTCCGGGGGCAGCGCTTGCAGGTTCACCACCTGGTCCCGGAAGGGAGTGGTAGGAACCTTGGGCACATATCCAGGCCGGGGTCTCAGGATCACGTGAGAGTCACCCGGCCCGAATTCCAAGCACGCTTCGTCAACGGAGAATGCGTGCAGGTCCCCTACCCTCTTGATGGAGGCCAATGCAGTCAGAAGCGCTGTCTTCATTGACAGAAAGTTAAGTTCGACTGACTGCAAAGGCTCAAATGGAGCGCTGCGCAGGGCAGTTAAGACCACTGCGAGGTCCCAAGAGGGTACGAGAGGAGGGCGAGGAGGATTCAGTCTCCTCGCTCCCCTCAGGAACCTGATGATCAGGTCATGCTTTCCCACAGACTTACCTTCTATCGGGTCATGATGTGCGGCAATAGCGGCGACATAGACCTTGAGGGTGGAGGGAGACAGCCTTCGCTCCAACCCCTCTTGAAGAAAGGAAAGCAGGACACTGACCGAACATCTCCGGGGGTCTTCTCGGTGAGAAGAACACCAGTTGACGAAGAGGTTCCACTTCAACGCATAGACGTGTCTCGTGGACGACGCTCTAGCGGAAGTGATGGTAGCCACCACCGCTGGTGGTAGGGTACTCAAACCTGCCTCGTCCCGTCCAGGAGCCACACGTGGAGGTTCCAAAGATCGGGACGAGGGTGCCATAGGGTGCCCCGTCCCTGAGAAAGGAGGTCCTTCCTCAGAGGAATTGGCCAAGGAGGTGCTGTCGCGAGGAGTATGAGTTCGGCGAACCAGGTCCGGGTTGGCCAATACGGCGCGACCAGAGTGACCTGCTCCTCGTCCTCCCTGACCTTGCGCAGGAATTGCGCAAGAAGGCTCACTGGGGGAAACGCATATTTGCGGCCCTGCGGCCAGCTGTGCGCCAGTGCATCCGTGCCGAGCGTGCCCTCGGTCAGGGAATAATACAGGGCGCAATGGGTCGAGTCGTGAGAGGCAAACAGATCTATCTGTGCGTCCCCGAACTGGTCCCAAATCAGCTGAACCGACTGGGGATGGAGTCGCCAATCTCCCGGGAGGGGCTGAAGCCGTGAGAGCTCGTCGGCTGCACAGTTCAGGGCTCCGGGGATATAAATGGCACGAAGCGACCTCAGATGCTTCTGACTCCATAAGAGGAGGTGGCGGGCGAGTTGCGACATACGGCGGGAGCGCAGACCACCTTGACGGTTGATGTACGCTACGGTCGCGGTATTGTCTGAACGGACTAGTACATGCTGGCCCCTGAGCACGGCTCGGAAGCGGCGCAAGGCGAGCTGTACAGCCAGCAACTCGAGGCAATTGATGTGCCATAGGCGGTGGGGTCCTGTCCAGGAGCCCGCGGCAGCACGTCCATTGCACATGGCACCCCAGCCCGTGGTAGAGGCATCTGTCGTTACGACAATATGCCGGGAAGCTCGTTCCAGGGGCACTCCGGCCCGTAGAAAACTGAGGTTCGACCACGGGGTGAAGGTCTGACGGCAGGTCGGAGTAACTGGTACTCGGAGAGTGCCGTGTTGCCATGCCCACCTCGGGACTCGGTCGCGAAGCCAAAGCTGAAGCGGTCTCATATGAAGTAATCCGAGCGGTGTTGCCACGGCTGCGGATGCCATATGCCCCAGGAGCCTCTGAAAAAGTTTCAGTGGAACCGCACTCTTGCCCTCGAACTGTCTCAGGCAAGTCAGCAGTGACTGCGCGCGCTCGCTCGTAAGCTGCGCGGACATGGCGACCGAGTCGATCTCCATACCGAGAAAAGAGATCCT